ATGAGAGTGTTATTAGTCAGCAGATAGAAGTGGCCGTTCGAAATGTCATGTTAAACTACTTCACGACTGACAATATTTAACAGTAGCCCAACGAGCCTCGACCGGGTTCCTCTCTGTCAAAGCAGAGAGTTCGAGAGAAGTCGCACACAGTCAGATACTGCGGGTCGACTGCCTATATTTAACAGTCCCCCCACGAGGAAACTATGTAGCACAAGGCCGAGTTTAACGTAGGTTTCTATGAGAACGTAGGCTCGGCCAAAAATATTCACCTTGAATCCGCATTAGCGGGTTCGGGATCTGTCTACCTCCCCGGACGAAACTTTGCCATTCGGTGAAGCCTCGTCCAGGTTACTCTCTGACAAAGCAGAAAGTTCGACAGAAGTCGCACACAGTCAGAGACTGCGGGTCGACTGCCGATATTTAACAGTCCCCCTCATGAGGAATGTATATGGCACAAGGCCTAGTTTAACGTGGGTTTCTCCGAGCCCGTAGGCTGGGCCAAAAATAGTCTCTTTGAACCCGCATAAGCAGGTTCGGGATCTGTCTACCTCCCCGGACGAAACTTTGCCCTTTGGCAAGGCTTCGTCCGGGTTCCTTTCTGCCAAAGCAGAGAGTTCCACAGAAGTCGCACACAGTCAGAGAAGGTGGGTCGACTGGCTCCTTAGGAAGTCTCGCAGGTTAGTATTTATGTAGGAGGAAGCATTCATTCTAATGGAGGTCATCATAACAGTTAATATGTCAAATATGTTAACCAAGCACACAGGGTGGCATATTTGTGGCAGGCTGCTTTAGGTAAGGCATGTCGTGTACAGTAGTTGTTAGTAATGATGTTCTATTTCTTTATACTTCCGTGTATTTTGTAACCGCTATATAAGTCGACCTTCGTTTTTTGAAATATTTTCTAAGCTTTAAACTAGACTTTTGATGCCGCAATTTACGGTAATATGATAACTTAAATATTTGGGCAGAAGGCTAAAAAGAGCGACACTGAAATTTAAAGGCGGATTGGGATAGCGATATGATAATTGTAATATCTGCCTATATTTCTTAGATGAGGTATTATATACATTATTCGGACTATTTTCCTCATCTTTGTTGCCATATTTAGAACGCATGGCACAGTGGATAAATCCGTTTGTTTAATCCAGGGACAGGACGCAAAAAGTTGTGATTTCAATATCTGGTTAAGGCAGTTGAGAACTTAAAAACAGAAATATGACACCGAAATCCGAAGGTTTAATTGGGTAGCGAAAGATACCTTCTAAAAGATGAACAATTACAGGAACATTTCGTCGGAATAACAGAAAAGAATTCTGAAATACAGTGTAATGTTAATAATGTGTAATGTGAATAAAAAAGTTAATTTGCACAAGTATATTTATTTATCAATACGATACTCTCTTTGTCTTTACACTTAATTCAGTGGTGGCAGTTAATCAGCCATATAAAATAAATTTTCAAATCAAAATTTGGATATTCATTACGTGATTTCTATTTTCTTGAATTATGGTCAAGGTAGGAAGGAGCGAGAAGCGTCGGGTGAGCACGTTATTCGTGGCCAGAGGAGATAAACATTCTAAGCGGGAAGACGTCGGAAGGGCGGATATCTTAGGCGCGCACATCGAGAACATCATCGACAACACCCAGCATCTTGATGATGGCTATTCCCTAGCCAATCACTACTCTATATTACGTACACACACAAACACCCCCCTCTCTCTCTCTCTCTCTCTCTCTCTCTCTCTCACACACACACATATACTTTTCTTTTCCAGTCAATATCGATATTCAAAAATCTAAATTAAACTTCAGTCGTTATCTTGTCTTTTTAATTCCTGTTCAGTTATTATTCCATTTTCTTAATGGAGTTTTTTGTTTTATTTTCATATTCCCTCACAATCACTAACACCCTTGAAAAGTAAATACAACAGAAGAGTGTTACACAAATTGGAAGTGTGTGTTGGTTGACCAGCTTTCAGTCTATGTCACAGTTAATATTTAACAGCCCTCCTCACGACGCACAAGGCTGAATTTAACGTTGGTTATCCGAGCCCATAGACTGGGCCAAAAATCCCCGTAGAAACTGATTAAACGGGCCCGTCTACCTCCCCGGACAAAACACTGCCCTTCGGCACAGCCCCGTCCGGGTTTCTCTCTTGCCCAAGGCAGGGAGTTAGACAGGAGCTGCGAACAGCCTCAGTAGAACAGTCTATATTACTGTTAATATTTAACAGGCCCCACGTCCACGAGGGATGTATGTGGCACAGGAATATTCCCTTAGAACCCGCATAAATGGGTCCGGGTCTGTCTACCTCCCCGGACGAAAATATTCCCTTTGAAGCCGCTTAAACGGGTTCAGGGCCTGTTTACCTCCCGAGATGAAACTTTGCTCTTCGGCAAAGACTCGTCCGGGTTCCTCATAACTCAAGGCAGAGAGTTCGATAGTTGAACAGTTCAGATCACTGTTAATATTTAACAGCTCCCCACGAGGGATGCATGTGGCACAAGGCCGAGTTTACCGTGGGTTCTCCGAGCCCGTTGGCTCGGCCAAAAATATTCCCTTCGAACCCGTATAAACGGGTTTAGAGCCTGTCTACCGAAGGGCAAAGTTCCGTCCGGATTCCTCACAGCTCAAGGCAGAGAGTTCAGATCACTGTTCCCTTGATGCTTACTTTACTACTACCTTTATAGTAAGTGGAAGAGTCCACCATAGCTTCATTAGAGGAGGCACACCACAACAGAAACAGACTCTCGCCTCTGGCTGTTAACTTCAATGTTCACTCATATATATATATATATATATATATATATATATATATATTAGCAAGTGTACATAATATCCTCACCGATAGCAGCATAACTAAGAGTTTCATGCACAAAGCAATTTAATGATGCTGATTATAGACTGAACATTACTTAATTTAAAATTTAAAAACATATCTGATCATCGTAATGTTAGCTTAGATATATATTATACTGGGATTAAAGTATTTTATTTTTATATTTTTATTTGGCATTTAAAATAAACGGGATTTGTATATATAAGAGTAAAGAAATTATTTTTTTAAAGAAAGGATTTTTTTAGAGATATATTAGCTTTTATTATTAATATGAGATTACTGGTTCCTTTTATATACATTAACGTAATATATGTAAAAATATAACCCGTAATTCATATTAAATTTTATCACGATCAACGTATTTCAGCAGATATTTATTTTATGCCTACATGTAACCATCAATTCTTTTCTCTTGTTTAATTAGCAAGGGTTATTTAAACATTTGAGTCCTGACCACAGATTTACCGGTAGATGAGAAAATGTTATAATACCCAGCCATCGGTTGAACAGTGGTAGAGAAAAATGACTTAATGCCCAGCTTCAGTTTGGTCGGTGTTTTATATCTACCATGATATACCAATTATTTACGAATTTTGACTCAGGGGCTCAGGCCAAAGGCTTAAAATTTTTCAGGAACGCAGGGTTCAAACGGTTAATGTTTTAAGATAACTAATTTTTCAACAAGACATAACTTACATTTATTTCCTTTTACGTTATAAGACATAGCTCTCG